TGTTTTGGACAACGGTTTACAGATGATATGCAAGCAAATTACAGTAATGAGTGTTTCGAATTACCTCAGCTATCTAGTAATACAAACGACCAAGATATAAATGATAATTTAGTAGAAGAGCAATTGTTTTACGGAAAAGTGTGGAGCTTGATACGTACTGCAACTGACAAATGCTTGTTATACCGTGATCATGGGTTTATTCAGATTATTGAAAGTTATTTAGATAATATACGAAAACGTGAAGAAGAGCTTGCTCAAATACATACTAGTAATGAAAATGATGATTCAAACAAAGAAAATGTAGATTCAAATGTTCAGCTTAGAAATCCATTAGTGGTTACTACTAAAGGCAGACCAAAGTAAGCTAGTCATTGTAAAAACAATGCAAACCAACAGTTAGTACATAAGAGCAAGCGAAGACATGGTCCAAATCTTTGTAGTTACTGTAAGGAATCTGGACATAATATTGCTAGGTGCTCTAAAAGGATTATGGAACAGGGAAGTTAGATAACTAATATTGATTGAAAGTATTATTTGGCGTTAGTATTAGCTGAACTATATTTGTATCATTTATATTTTGATTGTTGTAACTTGAACTACTACTATTTATACAGTAACAGTAACAGTGTAAATAGTAATTGTTTAACATATTATGATTGCGCATATAAGATTTCTAAGGTTGTTTTATGGTAATTGTTCAGTTTTTGAAGTTCTGTTATCTCCTCCAAATGTTTGACATCATATATACCAAACAAATCAGCATTGTTTATCTCCCAAATCAGAATGTGACAACAAACACATATATATACGTGCCTCGAATACAATGGATATCTGTATAAACGATGCTCCAAGACTCTGTTCTGATCTCTCTACCTTAAGCCGGTTGATAAAGTTTTTCCTATTGGGTTTTTACTTTTGTATACTAGTTTAAAGAAAAATAGAAGTAGAGACTAATTTGTCTAATCAGTATATAATTTTTCCAAGCTACCCACAGGCTTATAACTGTGATATTAAGATTAGCAAATTTTCTGTTTTGTTTTTGTTTTTTTTCAATATTCCTTTACTTTTTCTTTTTATATTTTGTATTTTTTTACCATAGTCTCCTATATCTCTGTGTTTTTTTTTTTTTTTAGTTTGTTTTATTTTCTGATTTTGCTTTTTGATGAACAGATAGCTGCCAGCCACTAAACAACGGGAAAAAAGTCCTTAGTGAGTTAAGGACCCTAAGGAAGGCCAAGAGCTACTGAGGCAGATCGCGCCTGGTATATAAAATTACGTAAGCAAGTTCTTTGTTTGGTTGGATCTACTTTAGTTAGAGATAAATTACTTGTAATTTTGAATAACTTGATCCCAAATAAACAAGGGCAGGATTGCCGAATTATAAAAAAAAATAAAAGTGTATTAAAGTTTAAATTAGCTTATAAATAAGCTTCAAATACAAAAGATATACTAATAAAAGACTAGTTAATAAAAGATAATATATAGTTAAATAATTTAGCAAATTAGATAGAAGGTTAGATTTGAAAAAAGTTTATTATAAAAGAAAATATAAAAGCAAATATAAAGGAATATCAGATCTTAGATTTAGATCACAAATAACTTCTATAACTCTTGAGTTAGCAAGGGCTTTGTCTGAGTTTCTAGTCTTAGTATCTTATAAATATAAAGTTCAAATAATGTAATTTCTTTATTTAATTATTTGTAAAGAAGTTTAATTAGATTTTAATAAAGATAGAGGCATGACCTCACCTTTGAAGATTAAAAAAAAAAAAAAAAAAAATCAGATCTGATATATAAAAAGATTTTAATATAGTACATTATAATATTTTAAAAAATCTTTTCAATAAAAATTTAATCTTAAGACAACTACTTAAAGCAACATCTGTTTCTTGGTATTTATGTTTTTTAAGTTTTATTAACAAACAATCTACTTTTTGTAATAGAATTAAGAATATTATTTATTTGAGTTTTTTTAAATATTTTTCTATAGTATC